GGTTGAGGAGCTGGCGAGCGAGTTGGTAAGCGAGTGAGCGAGTGGAGAGGCTGGCGAGTGAGCTGGCGAGCTGGCGAGCGCTGCTAGCGGCAAGCTGGCAGGCGCTGCTGGTGGCAAGCTGGCAGGCGCTCTTGGCGGCGAGCTGGTAGGCGCTCTGGCGGCGAGCTGGCGGGCGCTGCCGGTGGCGAGCCGGCACTCGCTACTGGTGGCGAATTGGCAGGCGGTTCTGGCGGCTAACTAGCAGGCGATGCTGCTGGCAAGCTAGCAAGCGCTGCGGGGGGTGAGCTGGCAGGCGCTGCTGGTGGCAGACTGGCAGGCGCTGCAGCACTGTTGGCAGCAAGCTGGCAGGCGCTGCTGGCGGCGAGTTGGCAGGCGCTGCTGGCGGCGAGTTGGCAGGCGCTGATGGCAGCAAGCTGGCAGGTGCTGATGGTGTCAAGTTGGGAGGCGCTGCTGGCAGCTAGCTGGCAGGCATCACTGATGACGGGCTGGCAGTGCTCGGGGGGGCGAGCTAGGAGGTGCTGCTGGCGGCGGGCAGGCAGGCGCTGCTGTTGGTGAGCTGGTAGGTGCTGCTGAAGGCGAGCTGGCAGGCGATGCTGGCGGCGGGCTGGCAGGCGCAGCGGTGGGCGAGTTGGCAGGCACTGTGGGGGTCGAGCTGGCAGACGCTGCTGGTGGCGGGCTGGCAGGCGCTGCCGGCAGCTGGCGGGCAGGCGCTGTTGGCGGCGAGCTGGCAGGCGATGCTGGCAGTAAACTGGCAGGCGCTACTGGCGGCAAGCTTGCACGTGTTGCTGGCAACGAGCTGGCATGCACTGCTAGCGGCGAGTTGGCAGGCGATGATGGCGACAAGCTGGCAGATGCTGTTGGCGTATATCTGGCAGGCTCTGCTGGCGGCAAGCTGGCAAGCTCTGCTGGCGGCGAGCTGGCAGGCGATGCTGGCGGCGAGCTGGCAGGCGTTGTTGGCGGCTAGCGGGCAGGCGCTGCTGGTGGCTAGCTGGCTGCGAGTTGGCAGAAGCAAGTGAGCTACTGGCAGCGGTGAGTTGGCGGCGGCTGTTGGCAGCAAGCTAGCAGCTAGCGAGTAGGCGGCAAGCAGGTGGCGGGGAGCTGGAAGGGATCTGCTGGCGGCGGCTAGCCAGTGGTGAGCCGGGAGCAGCTAGCGAGCTACTAGCGGCAGCGAGCTGGCGGTGGCTGCTGGCGGCGAGCTGGTGGTGGCAAGCAGGCGGCGGCAAGATGCGAGCGAGCTGTTGGCGACATCTAGCTGGTAGTGGCTAGCGAGCTGCTGGCGGCGGCAAGCTGGCGGCGGCTAGTTGCAAGCAGTGGGTAACAACCCTGATGAAAATGCTCCCATGTTTATGTACACACCATGTTGGGGCGACTCATAAATCTTCTTTTTTTATCCCACCTTTTCCTGCAGACCTGCACATCTCTGCACATCTTCATATGTGCTCTGTAGTTATCAAATTTGATAGATCTTGGATCTTAAGGGTCGAGGGAGGAGCTGGAAAGCAAAAGCGGAAGGGGGACGGGATGGGAAATATGGAGTGGGGGAGGGAGGGAGGGAATGAGCGAGGGAGGGAATGAGCGAGGGAGGGAGCGAGGGGGGGAGAGGGAGGGAGAGGGATGCAGGGTAGAATGGAGGGACATAATGCAAGACGAGGGAGGGAGGGAGGGTGGTGTTGAGTGTTTTAGAGTGGTATCCAGTACTCATAAGTGTTTCCCACAAGATTAGCTTCTGGTTGCATGTGCTTATATCCATCACATGCATGTATGTGCGTCCCAAGTCTACTGGCATGTTGGAATGCCGTTCTTGTTTTGCATTTGTATGAATGTGAATTGTGTGTTGTGTCGGGATGCGTGCATGTATGTGTCACGAGTTCTAGTAGCTAGATGTTGTGATCGTCATTGGCCAACATTGCTGTCAGAGTGGCCAGATCAATCTCTGCTCTAACACAGAAAAATTCGTGCACTCATTGTGAGGCATTCATGTCGTTTCATGCGGTACACTCATTCAGTTGCATTCGCTTTTGTTGATGCAGAATGTGTTTCTTGTCGTTCCATCTGTCATATTAATCGAATAGGTGGATGACAGAAAACATGTTTGCTTCTTGTTGCAGTGGTGTTGACGTTTGGGCTTGTCTCAAGGTGTGTGCCCTACCTGTCATGTGTTATTACAGTTCAAGGTTATGATCGTTACTAGGCAGCATCGCTGTGAGAGCTGTCGGATTAATCTTTGCCCTAACACTGAAGCAGTTGTGCTCACATTTTTTAGGCATTCGCATGATTTCTTGATGTGTATTCATTAAATTGCGTTCTTTTAATTTTCGGGAAAAAAATCGTCGTTCCATCCGTCTTGAGGTGGACAATAACCAACTTAGCCGCCAAAAAAAAAAAAAAAAAAAAAAAAAAAAAAAAACCCTAGAAAATGCCCCTAAAAATTACTGTTCATATCAGTGCCCCAAAATGTAAAACCGAATGTATAGGGCTGCTACGCAACAAGGGGTGGGTTCTCGCATGACTAGGTTACCTTGTACAGCTATTGAGTAACACCCTTTGAGCCATTGAGCCTTGACTAGGTATTTTGCAATAGCGTGCATCCCGGATTTGTGTTTACTTGAAATGCTAAACATGAATCCGAGATGCGAGCTTACAGCGTGTCCGAAGTGTTTGTCATCCGCTGACAGAACACTTTGGACACGCTCTAGCTAGAACCCATAGAAACGCTCGTCACAGGAGTACCTAGCCATCTGATGTCACAGTATTCATCTTCCCACCCCCTGTCTGGTCGTCATGTGGCTCAAGGCTGATTCCTACCCTGTGTCATCTCAGTGTTATGCGAACTTGGCACGTCAGCAGTTATTTTACCACCTTAGCTGTCATGACCTTGTGCTGAACGTCCTACAGTGGAGTTGGTCTTGGAGCGCAGTTGGAGGTGTTACAGCATGGCACCCCTTCTCTTGCCGCTATCCATCAATCTTTATACGTGCAGCGGCAGATTAATCACTACGCCCGGTGGTCCCTCCATCTTTTGGCTGTTCATACCTGACTTCTCTCTCGACTTTCTTCGTGAACAACCGAGCCTACAGCACGATATCCTATTCAAGTTCTACACTAGATCCATCCCCTCCGGGTCTCGATCATTTTTTGCTGCAGATAAAGGGCTGTGTGCCTGCTGTGCTGATTATCCCCTCGAAACCATCTCCCACATCTTCTTCGAATGTGGAGTGTCAAGAGCCATCACAAGTGCCCTTCAACGAGTGGCTCGGTGCCACCTTGGGATGCACATTGCCCTGAACAATCCCTTTTTTCACTTCAGTCATATGCGGGGCTGGTTGCTGTTAGAAACTCAGTCACTAACCATTGAGTTTAAAGGGCTTGTTAAGTAGCGGATCAGTGCGCCCATAACCCCCTAGGCATAGAGGCATGTGGCCCTTCCCCGAGGATCTTCTCAAGGGCAACCCCAACGGGTCTGAGATAGGCGGAGGACACAAGCGCCTCTGCAGCGCTGGCATTAGGAATTGAACCCGAGTCACCCACGCTCTGATAGCATGTTAGAACTCAGTCACTAACCACTGACTTAAAGGGCTTTTTAAATTGCGAGTAAATTCACCCATAACCCCCCAGGCTCTGCACCTGTGGCCCTTCCCCGAGGATCTCAAGGGCAACCCCAGCGGGTCTCTCGACACCCCCCTCTCGCTGGGATAGGTGGAAGACCTTGCACCTCTGCCGGAGCACTGTCACCTCTATCGGTGCACACACTGTGAATTGAATCCAAGACATTTGGCTCTGACAATATGTTGGAAACTCAGTCACTAACCACGGAGTTAAAAGGACTTGTTAAGAAGCGGGCTAGTGCACCCATTGTCAACATATATTTGTATATGTTAAAGGCTAGATAGGTGCATGCTCATAGGTCCTCCCCGCCCACCCGCGCTTCCGCCCTACTCCTAGTCCTAGTCCTAGCCGCCCATCGCTAGCCGCCCGTCGCTAGCCGCCCGTCGCTACCCGCCCATTCCTAGCCGCCCGTTGCTAGCCGCCCCTGCTAGCTGCTCGCCGCTCACCGCCGCTGGCTGCCCGTCGCCTCGTGCCGCCCATAGACATCAGCCGCCTGTAGCCGCTAGCCGCCCGTATCCGCCAGCCGTCGCCGCTCACCGTCGCTGGCCACCCGTCGCCTCGTGGCGCCTGTAGCCGCCAGCCGCCTGTAGCCGCCAGCCGCCTGTAGCCGCTGGCCGCCCGTAGCTGCCAACCGCCCGTAGCTGCCAGCCGCCCGTAACCCCCGGCCCGTCGGCCCTAGCTCGCCGGCCCGCGCTCGCCCGTCAGCCCCGTTGCTCGCCAGCCCTAGCTCATGCCGGCCCCTTGCTCGCCGGCCCATAACTCGTTGGCCCCGTGCTCGTCGGCCCCACGCTAGCCGGCCCCCAACTCGCCGGCCCCGCGTTTGTCGGCCCCCTGCTACGCCGGCCCCAGCTTCGCCGGCCCCAGCTCCATCGGCCCCAGCTGCGCCGGCCCCCCAGCTTCGCTAGCCCCCAGCTCCGCTGGTCCCAGCCTGCGCCGCCGTGCCGGCCGTAGCTCTTGCCAGTCCTAGCTCCCGCCGAGCCGTGCCGCTGTATCGCCGAGGCGCCAAGCCTCCGAGCTGCAGTGCCGCCGTATAGCTGTGTCGCTGAGCCGCCGAGCCGCTCTGCCATATTGACCCGCCGGCCTTGGTTCCCCTCTGCGCCGACGCTCCCGCCGGCTACCTCCACCTCTCTCCATCGCACTCCACCGCTCTCCACCGCTCTCCACCGCACTCCACCGCTCTCCACTACTCTCCACCGCTCTCCACCGCTCTTCACCGCTCTTCACCGCTCCGCAGCTCTCCTCCCCCCCTCCAGCGGTAGTCAGCTGCTACAGCCATAGTGATGGCGTTCTCTATGCTCCGCCTAGATGCGGAGGGTCAGGCAGTTGACTTTGAGGCGTGGCTCGTCGACCTCCGCCGCCAGCTGACAGGTCAACGCCAAGATGGCCATTCCTTGGCCGTCCATGTCGACGGTAAGCTCCCCTGCCCCGACGCGCCTGCTGCCCTCCCTGACGCCCCCACGTCTACTGAGCGTGAGGCCTTTGCCGCTGCTGAGCTTGCCCACAGTGTCTGGGAGTCGCGCGACGCAGTGGCACAACTTGCTATTAATCACGCTCTTCCCCTGTCTGAGCGTCCCCGCTTTACCGCTGTAGCAAATGCGCAATAATAATAAGATGCAGTCATTGCGCGCTATTCCACTCCCTCCTCCGCCTCTGCTGGCCGCTTGATCCTCCCCATGCTATTCCCTGAACTTGCTTCCTTCCCCACTGTCGCTGACCTTGCCACTCATCTTCGCGCACTTGAGACTAGCTACCGCGCTGCTACCACTGAGGCACATCTCACTGCATTCCCGCCACCGCTTTGCGCTACCCTTTACCTCAATGCCACGCGCCTTCCTGACCGCCTTGCCTCTGCCCGCGACCACTTCCTCAGTCAGCACCCAGGTGACCTCACCCTTACTGCCTTTGTCACCGCCCTGTATGCGATAGAAACCAGCCAGCGCACTATCCCTCAGTCTAGCGGTACTGCGGCGGTCCCTATCTTCTAAGGAGAATGCTCCCTCCCAGTGCACTTACTCTGTTGTTTCTGCCACTGTCGCTGAGACAGCCCCTGCTGCTGAGACTGCCGTCGCGTCTTCAGCAAAGCCGCGTCAGGGTAAGGGCCGCCGCCCCAAAGGGGGGTGAAGCTGAGGAAAGGGTGGCGGGGGTGGTGGGGGTGGCGGAGGTGGCGGAGGTGGGGGCGGGGACGGTGGTGCAGACAAGGGGACCGGGGCTGATGCCCCGGAGCAGCAGCAGCAGCAGCAGCAGCAGCCTCAGCAGCAACAGCAACAATCGTAGTAGCAGCAGCAGCAGTCTTCGTGGGGACCCCCGCCACATGGTGGCCTGGCGGCGCTGATGGTGGTGGTCGTGGTGGTGGGTCGCGTAGCTCGGTGTCGGGTGGCGGCTCCAGTGTGGTCACCTGCCAGTGCTAGCTTCATTCCGGCCCCCGCCGTGGCACCGTCTATGACCGTCCCTGTCACACCGTTGCGTGCTGCTACCACTGTCTCGACGACCTTGTCCCTCTCCGCTTCGGCCTCACGTCGGACCCCTCTGACTGGTACCGCCTGGTACGACGTCGTGTGCTTGTCTTTGAGCTTGACATGGATCAGCTTAGGTCTGCTATGTATGTAATGTATGCTGATGACTCTGGTATGACTGCACCCTATTTCCCGGTGTTGCCTAGTGTTAGTGTGTCCCCTGTGTGTAGCCTAGGTTCCCTTGCTACGTCAGGCGTAGGATCACCTGCCTTGTTTAGCCTCGGCTTCATTCTAGCTCCTTCCCTAGTGGCCGCTTCTACCGCTCTCTTTCATGCCAGACTGTGGTGCGTCCGCCTTCTTCTTTCACGACCACATTGCACTCACGCCGCTTGCCGCCCCTGCCGTTGTAGCGCTTGCTGACCCCTCTAGATCTGGTAGTTGCACATAGCTCCACTACCCTTCCCTGTCCAGCAATTCCCTCGGGCTCTCTTACAAGCTTGCACATCCCCACGTTCTCCAGGAACCTAGTTGGTGTCGACTGTCTTCAAGACCTCGGCGTCACCACTACTTTTTCTGGACATGAGCGGCACACAGTCTACACTGAGAGAAAAAACCGTCCGGATGTTTGGCACGAAGTTGGGTTTTTAGGCTTTAAGACTACTGTATGGTAAACCTGCAAGATGCATGGTGGTACGCGTTGGGAGAGGCACAAAGTGGATGCGTTCACAGCACTAAGAACTAGAATAGTACATTGGATCCAACTCATACTCCAAAAGATATACAACGAGTACATCCGGACAGTTTTTTCCCTGGACAAAGAGCAAACTTCCGAACAACGTTTCTAGTACCTAGTCCACCTACTCTTGGCGTTGATCACCATCCGCACCCTCCTAGGCATGTTATCTATGGGGTTAGTGCAGACCTTTGCATGAAGCTTCTCGCACTCTTCCTGGACCCACCATTTTGCATAAGGGGGTGAGCACAAGGAAAATTGCAAAGTATTTGAGCGTATGCATAAGTATTGTACACAAATTCTGAATGAATGTTATCTCAGAGACTAGCCAAGCCGAGGGGTGGCCAAAGATGCCATTAGTTAAATGGTCCCGACTTATCATGGGTCGTCTTCGTCGTATCGTTCTAGGGTAAAATCACGAATAGAGTGGCAAAATCTAGCATTCCCGCCACGAATCTTAGGGTAACAGAGCACGGTCGACTGAACATCCTTTCACTGTGTGAACCATGTTAAAATCCGCGGGTCTAGTGACGGGGCAGCAGTCGAAGAAACCTCGACTGTTTGGGAAGAATATCTGGATTGAGGTCTGGTGAGAAAAAAGGTCACTCCAGCGCAACATACTTATGCTCTCCAAGGCATTCCATGTCATTTTCCCTGCCTAGGCTTGGAATGGCTTGGAGAGCATGGATATGTAGCTCTGGAGTGCCCCTCTTCCTCACCAGACCTCAACCCTGATATTCTTCCCAAACAGTCGAGACTTCTTCAACTGATGCACTATCACTAGACTCGCGGATTTTCACATGATTCTAACAATGAAAGGATGCTCAATCGACCGTGCTCTGTTACCCTAAGTTTCGTGGCGGGTATGCTAGATTTTGCCACTCTATACGTGATTTCACCCTACTCTGATTCGACGAAAACGACCCATGATAAGCCAAGACCATTTAGGTAATGGCATCTTTGGACACCCCTCGCCTTGGCTAGTCTCAGAGATTACATTCAATCTGAATTCGTGCACAATACTTATGCATACGCTCAAATACTTTGCAATTTTCCTTGTGCTCACCCCCTTATGCAAAATGGTGGGTCCTGGAAGAGTGCGAGAAGCTTCATGCAAAGGTCTGCACTAACCACATAGATAACATGCCTAGGAGGGTGTGGATGGTGATCAACGCCAAGAGTAGGTGGACTAGGTACTAGAAACGTTGTTCGGAAGTTTGCTCTTTGTCCTGGGAAAAAACTGTCCGGATGTACTCGTTGTATTTCTTTTGGAGTATGAGTTAGATCCAATGTACTATTCTAGTTCTTAGTGCTGTGAACGCATCCACTTTGTGCCTCTCCCAACATGTACCACCATGCATCTTGCAGGTTTACCATACAGTAGTCTCAAAGCCTAAAAACCCAACTTAGTGCCAAACATCCGGACGGTTTTTTCTCTCAGTGTATACCGAGGCCGCCACTGGTGCCCCTCTCACCACATTCCCCCGGGACCCGGTGTCTGGCCTGTTCACCCAAGACACTGCGTCCCCCCCGGTGGGAGCGTCCCCCCTGGCCGCCGCGCCCTCCCAGGTTGCTGCGGCTTGCTCATGTCGGTCGCTCACCCACCTGTCGTTGTTGTGGCACCACCGCTTAGGTCACCCCGCACTCCCCCGTCTGCGTCACATGTCCCATCACGTTCTGATCTTAGGTCTCCCTATCTCACTCCCTGCCCTCCCTCCCTCGTCTGCGCCACCGTGCACGCCCTGCGTTCTGGGCCGGCTGTGACGTGTTCCTCACTCGTCCTCGCTTCCACCTACCACTGTGCCACTCCAAACCTTGCACATGGACGTCTGGGGCTAAGCCCCTGTCCCCGAGCCGCATTGAGAGCGCTACTTTCTAGTGCTTTTCGACGACTACACGTGCTATATCACGGTGTTTGCCCTGGAGCGTAAGGCCGATGTGCCTGATGTTCTTCTCCTATGGGTCATAGCTGCGCGAGTCCGCCACAGCCTTCCCGTGCTGCGACTTCACTGTGACTGTGGTGGCGAGTTCGCCTTCTGTAGGCTTGGTCAGTTCTGTCGTACGGAGGGCATCATCTAGTCGTACACCCTGCTGGACTCCCCACAGCATAATAGGGTCACTGAGCGACGCATCGGTTTGGTCATGGAGGTGGCTTGTACCTCCATGATCCATGCTAGTGCACCCCATTTTCTGTGGCCCTTCGTTGTTCGCTACGCTGCTCACCAGCTTAAGCTATGGCCACACTCCTAGTGGCCGCAGATTTCGTTGACCCTCCTCTGGACCGGGTTCCCTGGTGACGCGTCTGCAATCCACCTCTGGGGCTACCTTGCTCACGTTCGTGCCACTTGCACGAACAAGCTCACTGCCCGCACCGTCCCTTGTGTCTTCCTTGGTTTCCCCCTGGACGTATCTGACTAGCACTTTTACCACCCGCCATCCCGTCGTTTCTTTAACTCTCGTGACGTCACTTTAGACGAGTGTGTCTCATTCTACACCCGCTTTCCCCACCCCGCCCCTGTTCCTGGTTCCCACTCCCCTGGGAGCCCCTGCTCATCTCCCTCCCCGTCCTACCCCGGCTGGTGTGTCTCACGTCACTCCCCTCCCGTCGGTTGTCCCGGTAGAGGATTCGGCTGACTCTGGAGGCCCTGCGGCTCCATTCTCGCCGCCTGTCTTTGCCCTGGTGTCTCCTCCTCCGCCGTCGTAGCAGCCGCCGCCGTCGCCGCCGCTGCAGCAGCCGCAGTCGCCGCCGCCGCAAGGGTCCGCGAGCGCTGGGGGTGGGGGCATTGAGGAGGGTGCTATTCATGGGGTTACTGTCGTGGCTTGTCTTGGCGCTCTTGGGGGTGGCACCGATGCTGGAGAGGGTTCTCGTTCTGGGGGTGCTGGTTCTGGGGGTACTAGTCCTGGGGTTACTGTCGTGGCTCGTCCCGGCGGTCCTTGGGGTGGCACCGGTGCTGATGAGGGTCCTCATTATGGGGTGTTGGAGTGGAGCACCCTGGAGGTAGCCGTGGTGCAGCTAGAGTTTCTGGTGTCGGCGCGGAGCAGCAGCAGCAGAAGCAGTCGCCGCCAGTGTCCGTCCTTTGCCTCCTCGGTCTTCCGTCACCTGACCACGTGCTTGCGCCTCCCCTACCGCCGCCTCTCCCGCCTATCTACGGCCCTGTATTTCCTCCACCGGACTCGTCTCTAGCTCACTTCCCCCCTCGTTCTCTTCCTGTTTCTCCACCTTTGACTCCTGACCCAACCCCACCCTCCCGATGGTGGTCTCGCCGTGCCTCTCGTGCTCGTCCTGTCTCTCCTGCTTTGCGTTCTTACCCTATGTTGCTTCGTTCCCACGCGTCTCGTCCTCCCCTCATCCCGTCGCCTCCTTCGTCGTTGCTTGCTGTCGTTCCACCTCCTCTGTCTAACTTCCTTCTTGTCGCTGGTCCTCTTTTTCCTCGGGTCCTTGCCTCTCTAGTTACTGAACCGTCTGTTCATGTCTCTAGTCTCTCTGCTCTTGTCCGCTGCCATCGTTGAATTTCCCTTTACCCGCCGCATTGACTAACGCTGTAGTCTCCAACCCCGCCCGTCCTCCGTCTGTCGGAGGTGCTCCTGCCCTTGGAAGTGACGTCCTGGAGGACCGGCAGTAAGAGCTCGCTTTCCTGTCCGAGGCCGCTCCTCAACCTTGCTCCAAGCTACTAGTCCCTAAGGGTGACCAAGACGCCCTTGACATCCCGTCCCCTCGCACTTACGCCGAGGCGACCTCGGGACCCTGGGCCTCTCAGTCGATAGCTGCCATGGACGCGGAGATGGCATCTTGGAGATCCACCTGCACCTACACAAGCAGGTCTACCTGCACTGCTCGCCAGGCTTCAGCGGCACCTTCGCCCCTGGGACCGAGTGGCTCCTCCGGCACCAAGTTTATGGTCTGCGGCAGGTGCCCCGTGAGTGGCACAACACGCTGCGTGCTACGTTAGCTGACCTGCAGTTCTTCCCGTCGTCTGCAGACCCCTCACTCTTCGTTCGTTCATACTAGACTCCGTTCTATATCCTAGTCTACGTAGAGGACCTGGTCTTCGCGATTGCAGCCTAGTGGTCCTTATGCAGAGCTGGTGGGTTGCCTCATGTACCTGATAACTTGCACTCGTCCAGATCTCGCATACCCTCTCAGCACCCCGACTCGCTTTGTGGCCACAGGCAGACACCGACCACAGCACTGGTCGGCCGCTAAGAGGGTTTTGCGTTATCTAGCATAGTCTAGCTGTGAGACAACGGAAGTCTTAGAACTTGTAAAGTAGTGACCAGAATTTACTGAAGGACAAGTTAACAATTGAAGTTGTACAAGCTACTTTTATATTTGCTAGAAGTACCTATTCGGTGATGTACCTGTTCGAGCTATTTGCACTATGCGCTTTAACCACTACTGAAAAGAGCGCGACTGTTCGCGTGACTGA